ATAAGATATGCAAGTGTTAAAATCTTTTAGTTTTTTCTTGTTTGTTTTGTTGGTAAATTTCATTCTTTACATAGACCATAGATTTACAATGATAGGCTAGTGCCTCAGAGATCACCCACTTGAAGGACAACATGCTAAACATAATACATCCAAAATCCTTGCAAATGCCGATTTTGCCACGTTATGAGTGGTAGAATCCAGTTTCTAGGAACCTTCAGCTTCTTGGATATCCATCTTACGTGACCAGTCTACTCTGTAATAATAATCCTGAACAAATCGAAAAAAAAAAAAAAAAAAAACCAATTTAGAGAATTATCTGAATAAGGTCTCCTCTGTTTCTGAAACAAAAAAAAGAGAACTACATCTTTTAATTTCAGAAGAAACGAAGCATGAAGATAGCAAATTTACATATCCAGTTCACCTAATTATCACGCTTATTGAGTTATTTCTATTTGTATCTAAACATTTTCCTGAGTTCAATAATTCTCGAGACACTAGAAAAATCTTCCTCGAGTACTCTGAATATTCTCTGATGACTATCAAATGATTAAAAAAAATTGTTCCTGTCTGTCTCTTGGCTGCAATGAGTTTGCTCCACGCTTAGACCCTCAGTTTCACAACTTGCCACGGACTGATAGCAGGATTCAACTGGTGCAGCTCCAAGAACGTAGCGTAACATGGATGCCAAGTGTTGATGATTGCCTTTCTTTGCCAAGAACTCTGGTATTTAGTGTAAAACAATTGGTTGTGTTCCATTAGAACTAAGTGGTTTCCGATTGATCATTCCGAGTGCTCACCCACACGGTGAAATATTATTGTTTAGCATCCGATGCTAGACACGCGTAATAAAGCAAACATACTTGACGCAGTCTGTGTGAAAGATATAAAAATATATAGTTGTTCGCATTTGAAGAATGCGAACTCAATTCTGCGAACTCAATTGAGTTCGCATTTACTAAATGCGAACAACTCCGGAGTCAGAACAGCTAACCCAAAACACCCCTTATGTGGAATTAAATTTAATTTTCATAATAATTTTAGAATTTACTCAAAGTTTTCATCCGTGTCCAAATCTTGTGGTTTCATTCCCTCTTCAAGTTTGAGAAAATTCTTAAATTGTGATGGACAAAAAAAAATTATTCTATAAGGGGATAATTTTTTAAACTAGTTCTAGGATTGTGATTTTTGTATTTGTGAAATGCTGAGTTCAAAGGCTTTGCATTTCACGAATGCGAGAGAGGCCAGTGTTTCAGGAAAAAAGAGAAATGTTTTGGGAAAAAGAAAAAAACAACACGAAGCTCGCATTCGCCTCACCTCGCATACTCAATCTGAACAACAACGCAGAGCTCCTAATTACGGCATTCAAATCTGTCTCCTAACCGGCAGAAATTGGAGCTCACTCTCTCTTTTCTTTTGCTGAGCTAGCCACCAGTCCAAGCATCTCAGCTCTCTGCCATTGTAGACGAAATCCCTCACATCTTTCTTGTCGGATCCTCGCCCCCATTGTAGAGCTTGGACCCCTGTTCAGAACCCATTTCTGCCAAGCTGAAACCAAGCCGCGCCTCTCCCCCCCCCCCCCCAATTTGCCACTTTTACTACCTCAACAGGACTCCCCAACCAACTTTGTGTCCCATTTGCTGCACATTTTCTTTTCACTTGGCAAATGGCTTTCAAATTCGTGGCTATGCTCTGCTGCTCAGAAACAGCATAAGAGGTATGAATTTCTCTTTTTTTTTTTGTGAGTTTCTTTTTTTTTTTCTGGGATTTTTTGTTTTCTGAATTGAGCTGGCTTTTCTGCTTTGGCAATTTATTGAAAGTTCTTGTTCATTCGGTTTGTCTCTTATTTGCTTGCCATGCTTAGTCTGACAAGTCCTTAATGCCTAAGGTTTCCGCCAGTCACATTTACTGGTACACCTCCATGATTGATTCCATTGGAAATGTTGGGCAGACATCCGATCATGGTTTTGTACCAAAAATTCTCCACACATATGATGCTGCATTCCACGGTTTCAGTGCCTTGATGTCTAAAGACCATTGCATTTGGTCTCATGTTTGAGTTGTAAATTCGTGTGATTAGATAGATTTTTTTTGGAGCCATATTTAAGCAAGAAAGTGTATTTTTATGGATGTACACAAGGCGTTTGTGAAAATTCCTGAACAGAAGTTGCTAACTTCTGCAATATATGAGGCGCCCTCCTGCCTCAAAGATGATGAATTAAGTGAAGTTGTGGATATAATATGAAATGCACCGTTGCAATTAGTATGCACGAAGAAACGAGGGGGAAAGGAAATTCGTTGTAACCATATCTCCATGCCAAAAGTCAAAAGGAAAAAATGAAAATTTAATGCGAACCTGTTTGGAATGCATTTTGTTAAAAGTTCTTTTTTAATTATTAAATTTTATATATATATGAGTGAAAAAGTTGATTGATAATTATATAAAAAAAATTTAAAAAGTCAAAAAATTATGTTTTTTGGTAACAAAAAGTGCTATCCAAACATGGCCGCCAAAATTTCTACATAAAAGTGGTTGAATGAAAATCAATTCACACCTATTTGGTTGGGTTTGGGCAAAAAGTGTATTTCAAATTTAGCTCTACCATACAAGAGGCTCCACCTAGTTGGCTCAAGATTTCTTCTGAAGATGTAAACCCAAAATCTAATAGCTTTTTACTTTTTTCTATCGTTTCATTTTTTCCATATATCCATTCCGTTATGTATTGTGTGCTTACAAGATTTCTCGTCAATAGTTAGAGAAGTGTGTTATGGATTTGTTATAGTTATTTCTTTGAAAATGTACAAAGTTTCTGTTTTGGGGTAGTTTTTGGCACAATGAACTTAAAATTTGTGGACCCTATATATGCTAATTATTTCTATTAGCACTGATTAGTGAAAGACAAGATTTTGTTCTTAATGCTAATCAATGAGTTGTTCTAGTCTTTTGGGGCAAAACAACATATTGGTTTTGCTGAGATTACACTTGTTATAGATAGTAAGAGTCCAAAAATTCGAATCCCCCACTTAAATTTAAAAAAAGAAATAGAAAATGCATTGACAGCCTAAAAATTCTACTCCTAGAAGTTTATAACAAAATGTTGAGGACGAAATTAAGACTTCGGAATTTATAGAGGGACTATGCTGCAAATTCCTCTAATGTGGAGGGGCCGAGCTTCTAAAATCATCTCTTGATTTTCAAACAAGAGGAGTTGTCTATGTAAAGGGTTCTAATTTCTCATCTGAAAAGTAAAACATTTCCTAGAACTGAATATTAAATGTTGACTCCTAATTCAAGTTATACATTTTTTTTAATAATGAAAGCAGCTACAATCCATAAACAACCAAGAGTAGATTCTGCTAATTCTAATTTTTCTCTATAGTCACTTTCATAATTAGATTTTACAAAATGTGGAGCATCAAAGAATCAATGTAGCCGTACATCTCAAACATTAGTTGCAAATACAAAACAGAAAATAAGTTTGTGCGATTTAGATTAAGCCACCTTAGTTGCAGTTGCATGCCCGATCTAAGCTGCTAACAATTAATTAAAGTAGTTTTAAAAATCCATACATGTTTGGATTGGTTGGCAGGGAGTTTTAAACTAGTTATAGGGGAGACTCTGTCAAAATTTTTTCACAAATTCTACTAATGAGTTTAATTGGTTTTGAGAAATTCATGCAACGAATAAATTTTTTTAATTATCTTGGTTTTCCGTTATCTCCATTGTATTCATATAGGTTTGTACAAAGTTTTTGACACAAACGAGGGGACTTGAAGAGGCTTGGGTTTAAACCACTAGGATCAAATCTGCAGAAGTGCATCTTCAGAACCTGAGGCAAGTCATTGGGTAAGTCATGCAGTTTACAAGTAGACATAATTGTTGTCATATTAATGTTCTAGTTTTTTGAACTTTTCTTGGATTCGTTTTATGGTGAATTCATGAATTTAAAGTGAGGCCCTCTATTGTAGTATATTTTTTAATTGCATGGTTCACGGAGGACAGGGGAGTATAAAAAATTATTATAGTTTCACATTCTACTATATACATGAAATTATTATTGTAGGTTTGTCAAAATATCACAGTTGCTTGTCTTGTATAGCCCAAAATATGTATGCCCGATCTGAATATTAACAAAGTTCACTATAATTATGTCTAACTTCTCAACTCTTACAACAAAGTAGGACAAGCCTATTTGTTGTGTTCTAAATTATCTCATATTTCTCAATTGTTTGAAAATTGATGTGGCTATGTTGGTTGGCAGGGAGTTTTAGCCCAGTTATAAGGGAGACTCTATCAAATTTTTTTAAAAGTATTTTGAGTCTTTTTGGTTTGGTCATTGACTTAAAAGTATCCGCAAAACAAATTGGTGACAATATTGACTCAAAGGGCGGGGGAGTTTTGAAACGTGAAATAAAACATGATAAGCATTTATTTAAGGAACTTATCCCAATTGTTTAATTTAGAATTCTTGAATAACATTTTGGCCAAATTTATAATAATGTATAGGGGGGTTAGAGGGAATATTAACTTAAAATATTAACTAAAAATTAGCTTTCAAATTTATTCAAAAATTAAAAAAATATTAACTATTAGTTAGTAGGTGACTTCAATTTAGATGAAGAGGAATTGTAACAAATTGTAGACACCAAATTTTTGTCAATTTTTAATATTTTCTCAGGATTTTTCTATTTAATAAGTTATTTATTTTCTTGTATTTTAATGTGCATTTTCTCATTTTTGCAGGTTTGCTTTACAAAAAGAGAAAAAAAAAAAACAACAAAACAACAAAAATCAAAAAAAATCAAAAAAAAAATCAAAAAATCATTTTGATCATTTTGTTTCACCAAATTAACTATTAACCCATTTCACACTCAATGGCCATGGACTTGTCTTTTCATTAATTGAGAAATCATCATTTTGGAAGATTCAGCACACAAGCTCCATTTTGGCTACAAGACATCTCTCGGCTCTCTCCAGGAGAGAAGAAGGAAGAGAGGAAAAAATTTTCCCTCCCTCTCTCGGCTAGCTCTTAACAGACGAGAACAAAAACCAAACAAAAGAAAAAAAACTACTTCCTCAATCTCCTCTCTCGGCTCTCACGGACAGAGGACAAGAAAAAAAAAGAGAGACTCCACCCTTTTGGCTCAATTTGCTCTCTCGGCTCTCTCCCTCATCAGACAAGAGGAACAAAAAAAAAAAAAGGGGGCTCCCTCTACACATTTTCTTCCACAAAATCCAAACACATTTGCACACAACAAGGCAGCAATCGGTTGGATTGGAGCTTGGCAATTTCATCAAAAATCTTGGCAAAGGGACCAAACTCTTCATTGAGGTATTTATCTCCCTTTTTTCCAGCTTTTCTTTTTTTAATTAACTAGATTGAATGTATGTGTGGTTACTTTTTTTATTGCTTATTTTTGCTGGTTTTTGTTGGTGTTGTATGGATGAAATTTTGGGATGGGTCATGAACAAAATTAGGAAAAAAAGAAACGGTGCTGTGAATGCATGCCAAATGTTTGAAAAAAGGTTTGAATGAAAAAATGAATCAAAGGAGTGAATTTGGTGTGTATGTTTTGCTTAAATGGATGACCATTAGCTAGCAAAGATCTGAAAATGCTTGGTTATCCAAAATTTTGGGAGTTTTTGAGCCTTCAAAGCATTAGAATAATTTTCTTCATTTTTGGGGCTGCTTTGACTTAATGCTTTATTTTGTTGTTGTTTATTTGTCAAACTAAGATTATAGTTGTAATGTAGAAGTTATCAGGAGGGTTTTGGCATAATTTTTATGATTTTTGGTGAAGATGTGAAGGTTTTAAAAAATAAAAAACTGAACTGATTTATTGGCATTTTGACCACTTTTGACTCTTTTTTTGTAAAAACTAACTCCGGAAATGGAATCTACGCGAAAAATTGAGTGAGGGGGTGTATTTTGAGAAAATTTGGTGACCGGAGAGATCGCCGGCGGCGGTCCGGTGGTGGCGCCGCCGGAGGCAACCATGGCCGCCAGCAGGGAGAAGCTTCAGCTTCTCGGTGGAAGAAGAAGAAAGAAAAGAGGAAGAAGAGAAGAAAGAAAAGAAAAGAAAGAAAAGAAAGAAAGAAAAAAAAAGGATTTGGGCTGATGTTTATTTTTCTGATGGGCCAAGAGTTAGTTTTGGTTGGGTTTTGAAAATGGGCTTTGGTTTATTTTTCTTTTGGGTTTCGGTTGGGCTAGAAGGTCAGAGCCCATGCCTTTATTTTGGTTGGGTTTGAGTGATAGAAGACGGGTTGGCCTTGTGTTTTGGCTTGGACTTTCGGTTGGGCTTAGGTAGTGTCCGGCCCAAGGAAATAAAATGATGGCATGGTGGCCCATTTCTTAAGAATATCAGAAACCGATTTTTGCATTTTAGCCCCTGGTCTTTGGAGTAGTTTCACTACGGCCCAGAACATTTTAAATTCCTTTCATCTAGGTCCTTAATTTAATTGCACTTTGGTCCTGAAATTTTATCTTTTATTTAATTTTGACCCCTGAACTTTGGAAAAATATAATTTTTGTCCCCCAAAAGTTTTTAATTTTTGCAATTCAGTCCCTAGTGAATTTTGACTCTCTTTATTATGATTGCTTCTTTTTTTAATAGCTAATTATGTTACTTTTGAGTATGTTTAACTTGTAATTTTTAAATATTCTTAAATTTATTTACGTTTGACATATTAGTGTGAATTTAGTACTTTTATTATTATTATTTTTTCAATTAAATTGGTGCCATGATTCTTTTGTTCATTGTGAGTATAAATAGGATAATTTGACTCCACTTAGTCACCACTTCAAACGGGAGGTACTCCTATTTTATTATTTCAATGTCAATTACGTGCTCTTATGTGCTCCTATGTGTTCCTATGTGTTTATATATTTTTATATGCTTTATTTATTTGATTTAAATATTCATTCAAATTTTCTTATATATGTTTTAGTTAATTTTTATAATGATTCGAGAGGCATTTAAATACCTCAAAAATGTAATAGATAGGATAATTTGATTTGTTTTTTTTATATTTTTCCCTCCTAGATTGTAGCTAGGCGCTCCCCGATGTAATAGATAGGTTGCGTGTTTATGTGGCTTATGTGTTATGTGTTTCATCCGCTTTTCTTAGGATTTTGGCATCTAGATATTATGCTTACGTGTTATGTGTTACGTGCTCTTATGTGTTTATTTGTTTTAATTTATGCTTTATTTGCTTCACTATGAATTGCCAATGCATGGCGTCACCACACTAGTCCAACGCTAGTTGTGGCTTCTCCCTCCGCTTACTTGCTAGTCCAACGCTAGTAAGGACTTTTAGAAATGGGCTAGTCCAACGCTAGACCCTTTAGGTCATCTTGCGCTAGATTCATCTTTGTATGCTATTCACTACATTTTCATGCATATTTTCATTTTTAGGATCTTTTCTCATTTGCATGATATTTCCTATTATATTATCCCTTATTCTCTATATGTGTTAATCATATCATTTAGAATTGCATTTCATTTAGGACATTGTATAATAAGTTAGCTCATTTGCTTGTGCATATTAGGAGAATTATTTTTCAAACATGGGAAATGGGTGATTATAACTTTTTAGTTTAAATACCCCATTAATCCCTGTATAAGAAAATTATGTCACGAGTTTTTGCCTCCCATACCCTTTATGTTGCATTCCCTTTTTCTTTGATCACTTATATCTATGTATATAATTTAATTTACTTTCTTTACTTTTCTTTTTTCATCATTTGCATACTCGTGACACTTTCAAAGAATCATTTTGGCCTTTGCAATTAATGCGATTGGTTCAATTAAACCCCTTGAATGAACATTTTGTCCCTTTCGATATATTTAGATTTGCATCCATATAGGAAACATCCAAATATGATAAAATTAAGGGTTAGATTAGGAAAATTTTGACTAAACCTCGCAACTAGCTTAGACTAGGTTGAAAGGGTGCCTTAGGTTTGAGTCAATTGAACATTTGCCTTCCCTTTCTTCAACCGTGACTCCCGAACCCATTTTCTCTTGTTTTCAAAGACCTGGAGTTGTCAAAAAGGGTTTTATTTTATTTTACTTTATTTTTGGGTGACTTGGTACACCAAAACTCCATACCAAGTGGCGACTCCTATTTTTTCTTAAAAACCCTTTTAGACCAAATTTTGGACCCAAATTGTCGCATTCTTTTAAGTCCCATTCTAGGTCCTTTTTAATTTATTATTAATAAATCACATCTTTTTATAAAACTCTTTTTCTTTTCCATCGCGAAAAAATGGGGCGCGACACAAATGTTTCACAAAGTTTTCAAATTGGTTTGATCTGAAATTTTGGGGAAGACTCTGTCCCATTTTTCTCTAATTCATCCACATCGGGTTATATGTGTTTAAATTTTGTTAACCTCTAGTTATGCCAGCTCTTGTACCGTGTAGTGTAATTTTCAATATTATGTGGAGGAGAGGAGATTGTCTTGCAAATTATTGTAGTTTGACATTCTATTATATGCATGATATAACTAATATAGTTTTTCTCTAGCTAGCTAAGAAATGGTAATTATACAATTTGCATCAATACCTTAAAAATTTGAATTAGTTAATGAAGAGTTTTAGCTAATATTTAGGAGAGATGCTGCCTCTATTTATATGTGGAGTTAGTCCTAACCCATTAATCATTTGTTCCATAGTTTTGTACTTATAATTCTAATTTATTTTTCTCAAAATAGGGATTCATTTCGCACACATGTCTATAGAAAGACCTCTGCGAGTGTCTCTTTATTGGGGAGGTAAAATACATTATGAGGATGGGTCAATTTGTTACTTACCTCGTACCTCCAACCGTACATTCACATTGCGGCATAGAATTGGTTATGAGGAGCTGGTGGACAGAATTTATCAATATATGGGGGTCGATAGAGGGATGTTCAAGTTGAATTTATTTCTCCGCCAACCGTGTGGCCGTACCTCTTATAATGTCTCTACAGTGGTGGATGATGAAACTCTGGAGATAATGTATGATGTATGGAACGAAATTGTTCCATACATCGCCGAACTTTATATCGAGAAGGAGGAAATTATCCAAAATCCTCGAGTCAGTAGCATATTCATTCCATCAACTATCAATGTTGGTCCGATGATGTCGCTTGTCCATGCATGCATGGATCCAACAAGGTTTCGGTCCCATTCTAGTACAGCGGTACCAAAGACAGCATCGGCATCACAATGTACACATGGGGATTGGGTTAGAGACTCGTCAGAGCCACGGATCACATCAGGCTTACTGCGTGATGTTGAATATGTTCAAGGCCTTGACTCGATTCCAAGTTTTAGAGATCCAGAATCGCCGAATCATATGTCTTCTTATGGCTTGGATTCCACTCCTGGTCCAAGTCGATCTAACACATTGCTAGATGATGTGTATGCTAGAGGACATGACAAACTCCCTGCTTCGGAGGGAGACGATGATTCGGAGCCTGATGCAGAAGATGTAGAAGAATCTGAGTCGGTAGATGTGTCGGACAGTGACTCAGATGGCGAAAATAAACCTTGTGGAGTCCACCAGGATGTCGAGAACCAACAGCCCTTTACTCCAGCAGGCAGCCTCTCATATGTTCCACGGGGAATTGCATTTTTCTCTAACCTTGGAAACATAAATGATGACGACCAACTCACTGATGAAGGTGAGTTGAAGCGCATTGTAACATTCAGTGAGGAGAATAATAATTTTATACGTCTACATATGAAGTTTGAGAGCAAACAACAGCTCAGTAGGGATATTAGAATGTGTGGTCTATCAATCATAATAGGGAGTTCAGGGTTGTTGAGAGCAAGAGTAACACCTGGGTTGCCAAATGTAAATCTGCATTTGAAAGGAGCACTACCACTGCTTCCGGCCCATCGTATCCTCCATGCGATTGGTGTGTCAGAGCAGTGAAAAAAAAGACTCATGGATTGTGGCAAATTACCAAATGGGTCAACGACCACAATTGTCTAGGTGATTGATGAGTAATAGCAATACAAGCTTTACATCTTCAGTTATTGCTAGACACATAGTTCATAGAAGCTCATGGTGAAGATGAGCAAGGAGCTTATGGCGAAGTCGGGAGAGAAGAAGCTTCGGAACTCGGCAGCCCCTCAGCTTAATTTACTTTGTTTTTGTTTTTGTTTAATTTTTACCTTTTTTTTTTGTTTTGGATTATCTTTTGTTTACTCCCATCGACTGTCCTTTGTTCAAATGTTTTTGTTTTGTCTTAATCTCGTACTTCTATATACCCCATTCTGCGGTTAAGTCGAATTTGGGATGTTCGTGGTGTTCGACTGGATCAACACTTCATTGTAGGGGAGTACTGGTTTCTTTTCCCTCCCTTCACATTGAGGACAATGTGAATTTTAAGTGTGGGAAAATTAAAGTTTTCAATGTTTTGGTTATTTTGTGGCTCGTAGTGCATGTTTTTACTTGGTTGTGGTTGTGAAATGTGGAATTGATTATGGAAATTTGTGTGATGTCAAATATTTGTTGAAATGTAGGTTGTTGGCAGGGAGTTTTGACTATTTATAGGGAAAAATCTGCCGAAATTTTTTCAAAATCTTTTTCAAAATTGCACTATGGCCCAAGAAACCGTGATGGATTGTCAAATTTCTCTAATGGTTGAACAAATTCAAATATGCTTTTAAAGAATTCATTTCTTTCATGACTTGTAATTAGTATTATGTGATTATGATAAGTGCATCTTAGAAAGTATACTTAATAACATGGGAATAATTATGCCTTTATTTCTATCTTTAATGAGTTCTCTCCCTTCACTTTGATTTACAAATAGGTGATTGATATAGTCTATTGGTAATGTTTTTTTTTCCATTTCCATGATAAAAGAGGGTTATATATATATATATATATATATATATATATATATATATATATATATATATATATATATGATCTAGAAAAAAAAAAGAAAAAAAAGAGAGCAATAAAGTTACACCGACTACTTAAGTACTGAGTAACCGAAAATCTTCATCTAAAAATGTCGATTTTCGTGTAAAAAGGCACTTGGGGTTAAAAGGTGTTGTGACCTTGATGTGTAAGTGTAGAGTAATGGGGGGTTTTCACTTAAAAGTGTCAACCTTCACGTAAAAAGGCATTTGCAATGTTCAGGTGTTGATATTTATCATATGTTTATGATACCCTTCTGTAGTAAAATTTTGAAAAAAACAAAAAAAAAATGGATATAAAGGAAAATATTACCTTGTGACTATATGAGTCGGTTATTTGTGAAGACAAGTTAGGGTGATAGAATGATTACTCATATGGTTAAATTTATGTATAAATGTTTCCCCTTTATTGAGTATTATGAGTATTGAGCGCATTTTGAAGAATTGCATCGTAATTAATAGTCAAGTTGTGAGAAGTGAATTTGAGAAAGCATATTTTCTATTGGGCACTTGAATTAGTTTTGCTAGAGTGGTTTATTGTATTGCTTGGGGACAAGCAATGATTTAAATGTGGGGGAATTTGATAAGTGAATATTTCGTATATATTTCGTACAATTTTGCACGAGCTTTTGTCATATTTTTAGAAGTTCATAGCCATATTTAAACTCTTTTTGGTGCAAATTGCTTCAATGTTGTTTAGTGATCGGGACTTGCAAAATGAGTAAATTAATGCATAAACATGTGATATTTTGTAGGTTATCGGTACATGAAACACTTACATAAGATAAAGAAGAGGCAAAGTGCTAGTTGGAGAACAACGTACAAGTGAAACAAGGAGCGAAAATTGAGCGAAAGGGAAAAGAATTTGAAGTTGGAAACAGGGGAGAGGGATCCGAGCTTGGATCCATTCTCATCTCCTGTGATCCGAACCCTCGTCTGATCTTCTGGAGAAGTGGATCCGAGGCCAGGAGATCCGAGCTCGGATCGATTTGAAAAAGGCCTTAGATACTGCATGAAGAATGTGTGAAGAAAATGTTGAGGGAACTGATCTGAGCTCAGATCACCTTTTCGGCCTAAGATCCATGCCTCAGATCTTAATATTTTTTAAATTAAATATTCAATACTCTAAGAAAACAAATATTTTTTTAATTTATTTTTGAAGGAGCTCGCATTTACTAATAAATGCGAGCTCCAACTCCAAGAAAACAAATTTACTATTACTTGCAAGCTATAAGAAAACAAATATTTTTTATATTTACTTTTTTTTTAGGAGCTCGCATTTACTCGTAGAAAATAAATATTTTTTTTAATGCGAGCTCTAACAGAACAATATTTTTCATTTCGTGACAGCTCTACCATAAAAAAAATTAAAATTCTTTTGAGAGCTCGCATTTGGCAAAATGGCTTCCACCATAGTAATGATCGATTTTTAAAATCTCCTGACTGATTTCAAAAGTGGACGTTTTCTAAATATACTAATAATGCAGGCAAATCTGAGGGGGCGCTTGGTTCAAGCTTAGGAATTGGAATTGTAATTGGAATCATAGACTCTGGTTTTGGAATTAAAACTTTTCATTCCAATATCTTGCTTGGTTCACACATTGGAATTAGCATTATTCCAATTCCTGATGCTTGGTTTGATGAGTGTTTCGGAATTAAATGCAATTAAATTCCAAATTTACCCCTGATATAACAATTCTTCTAAAACAAAAGAATTACACATACGACAAATTAACATTTTCATAATTGTAACTACAATAGTTATTAACTTTTTGATAAAACATAAGAAAATCATAAATAATAAAAAAATTAATACCAGAAAATAAATATAGTGGCTGCATTAACAAGGAGTAAATTCCCAAAAAAAGGAGTTTTTAAACAATCACCCAAAAGGTGACGATTTTTGAGTCTCTTCCCAAAGGGTGAAAAATGCATCCAAGGAATGTGTTCTTCCAAATAAAAACGCAACTTTCAAATACGTTATTTTATGTTTTGGAAATTTATTTAAATATGAAAAATTGGTTAAATAGCCCATAAGATACCAGCTCTTTATGGAAAACTGGCAGGTTTTGTACCAGCTTTATGGAAAAAATTGATTAAATAGTGCCCAAAGGAAAACTAGTATGTTTTGTATTTAACATAAATTAAATATGTGAAAGTTAAAAAAACAAAATTGCCCATAAGATACCAGCTCTTTAAGGGAAACTGACAGGTTTTGTAGTATGTTTTGTACCAACTCTTTATGGAAAACATACCAACTCTTTATGGAAAAAATTGATTAAATAGCGCCCAAAGGAAAACTAGTATGTTTTGTATTTAACATAAATTAAATATGTGAAAGTTAAAAAAAAAAAGAAATTACTCATAAGATACCAGCTCTTTATGAGAAATTAGCAGGTTTTGTATTTAATACGCTATTTAACCAATTTTTTATATTTAAACAAATTTACGAAAATTAAAATAACGTATTTGAAAGTTGCATTTTTATTTGGAAGAACGCATTTCTTGAATGTGTTTTTCATCCTTTGGGAAGAGACTCAAAAATTGCCAGCCTTTAGGAAGTTAGTTTAAAAACTCTTTCTTTTTGGAAATTTACTCCATTAACAAGTCGTTTGTGGTTCCTACATTAGATAATGATATGAAATAGATCTCTCCTTACATATATGAACAAAAGAAGGAGACTCAAATCACAAAAGCTAACCATACCAAATACAAATCAATTGTCTAATCCAGTCGAGAGTGCCACTCAATGTCCACAATCTCCAAAAGATTAATCATATAACCATCTAACAATCACCATAACAAAAAAAATTGCCATCAAATCATCACTTTCCAGCTAACAATAATTTTACTTCAACGAGTAGATGGAGGATAAAGGAGGTTAATTACATATTGTCGTTTCATTTCTGCAGGAAGATTGTAGAACACATGAAGCTTGGAAATCTGCTCCGAAAGTATGTCGGCTGCATTCATTACATCTCCACTCGGTAAAGCAAGTTTCATTAACTCAGCAACAACTTGATCTCTTCTATCGGAGACCAATTGCTCACGTTTATCCTCATTTGACATGGCTGCTGCCATAGTTGTGAAATTAGCTTGAATTCCCTCCACGAAATCTCCAAATTTGCTGGTGAGAAGTTGCAATGATGCATCAAGATCACCCCTTGTTGTTGATACAGATTTCATTTTTTTTTTTTTGACACATTTGCAATGGGAGGGGATTGTTTCTTTTGTTTCTTGGAATTTCTTGTGCTTGTTGAGCTTGGTTGAGTTGATTGCTCCATGGAATTTACTTCATCTTCTTCTACCTTATCATTATCCGAGTTTGACATAGCATCAAGCCCTTCATCTCCTTCCTCCAAATTTTGGACATCTTCCATATCTTGGACAGCTTGTGCAAAATCTTAAGCAACATTTCCAGTGGCTCTGTCTCTTCCATATACAATTTCAAGATCTCCTAAATATGGAAATTTGACATCCCAAAGGCCCTTCGCATCCTTATGAGTCTAGAGATAGAATAGAAAGATAAATGATAATCTTAATAAAAGGTTGAAAAAGAACATATCAGAATGTAAAAAGTAATCAATTTCTTACCTTGCACCAATCATCATACCACTGTTTTTCATAAGAAATCTTTTTCTCAGCATCATTCCAACTACAACCACTTTCTTTGCACATTTCAACAATTGCATGGAACCTATTTTTCAGCCGCTTAACTTTTGATTCAATATGTGGGCTGACTTGTTTGGTAAAAGTAGGTTGCTTACGCAAGATAATTTTAAGCAATTCACTCATATAATTATTTTTAAATCCTCCATCTGATTTCCACATTGGATCACAAGCCAACTCTTGCAATGATTCTATGAGCACTTTTACCTCTTCACCAGTCCAAAAACATTTATTTTTCCCTCTTCCACGTACAATTTCATCATTCTCCATCCTATCATTTAGAAGTCAACCCATATATATCAATTAATTTTGATACACAATAGCATATAACTGAAATTTATAATATAACAAAACACATAAAAGAACATACAATTAAAAGTCAATCCAAATTTAAAAGAACATACATCAAGTGTCAATCTAATTCACAAATCCACTACAAGAGTACATCAAATGTCAATCCAAATTTAATGAGTCTAAGAGCTAAACATCCATTCATAGCTAAATATTAAGTCCAGCCCTCCAATTGTCAAACATTTCATGTGCTAAATTATTTCTAAAATTTGCCTATTGATCACTTGGCAAAATAGTGGATATGTACTCTACTTCTTCATCACTGTCTTCATCTTCACTTTCATTTTCTTCACTTTGTAGTAATTCTTGTGGATCAAAAGTCATGAACTTCCTTATCAAGTTGTGCAGCAGACAACATGCCATAATTATTCGCACTTGTGTTTGAATTGGAAAAAATGAAGGGGATGCTAGAATCTTCCACCTTCCTTTTAGCAATCCAAAACATCTTTCTATGATATTTCTAGCTTTAGAATGTT